GGTTCGAGTCCGACACACCGCCCTGCCGAACGAGAGCCCCGGCGGGGTGACGGTCCGAGGGGATTTCCACACGTTAAAAAAAAAAAAAAAAAGGGGTTTGTTTCAAGTTTGCCTTCTCTTTGCAGTGCTGTTGTCCTGCGTAATTTGCTCCCATAGTCGGCTCTTACGACACCCATGAGATGAATAGGGGTGGTGACATTCCGTATTCTTAATCCGTCACACGGATAGTTACTATTCCTAGGGAAGACTAGTAAGTCCATTTTTTAAAGCAAATAACATTGAATTAGAAACTTGATTTTTTCAGCGCCAAGTGGAACATTATTGATACAATTGTTTAAAAAATAACCAGATCATTTGCTATGACATTTATTTGTTCTGCCTTTTAAGCTAGCTAAATAATCATAATATTTTGATAATATTCTCAAACATCTGACACACAATAAGGTCTAAGATAGGTGATATATAACTAATCGTTCTGTCATCCATAAATTGTTGTTCTGAGTTTGGGTGTTTCTTTGAGTCCGTTTCATGTATGTTTGTAAAGTCCCCCACGACACAGGATATATTCCTAGTGCGGGAGTTGTCTTTTTTTTTTAAAGAAAGAAAAAAGAAACAATTGGTCTCAGCTTTTAATCTACCGTAGTATCTGAGTAAGTAAGGTAGTAGTAGTAAGGTGAACCTAGGTAAGGTTTTTCTTTAATTCCTACTGACGGTGAGGTAGATTCTGTTCACAAAATAATAATAACTTCTCACACGGCTATCTGATTCCTAACCAGGCAGAGGAAATGACTGGACACCAAAAAACTAAGTACACAAATTGTGTCACTTGTTCGTTAACCTCAGTCTTATTTTTTTATTTAAGATCTTTGGCTTACAATATCACAAACAAAAGATCTTCTTACCTATATAAGAATCTATACTTTTCTGCTTTGACTGCTTCGGGCGACATTTGTAACAAACAAGGAACCAGTGTGATTCCCTGAAGGAGCCCCTATTGTACAGAGAAAGACTTGGTATTGATGTCAACTTTCTCTACTGTATATTCGGATTTTCATTATTTCATGACTCTGATAGCATAAATTTAAATTTTTGTAATGTTTTTCGTGATCCAATACCAATCAAATGTTAGTAAACAGAGTCAAACGCTTACAGCAGATCTAAAAAGGCAAATTTTCACTTGTTGAAATAAAAATACCAAATTCTGTAATACTTTTATATATTACACAACTTAAAACTGATTTAAAATAAAGATCTTTACAGGAGATTGTTTTAATGTAGGTATAATACAAAGTTCTTACATGTAGAACACAATTAAACATAAAAAATACAATGACACGTTAAAATTTTAAATCCATTGAAGGTAAATACAAATTTTAAAGTAAATAGAAGCTAAAGGATAAATAGAAATAATAAAATGAATTAAAATATTCTCTAAGCCATCACCAGAGTCCACTTGCATCAGGTTAATAAACAAATATGTTCAGAAGATTAAAAAAAAACCACATACTTGGAATGCCAACAGCCAAGCTTATGCCTTACTGTGTGTGGCACTGACTTGGCTGTTCCTTTATAATCAAAATCTTTCAAAGTAATATTCTGGTGACTGTTTACATGTTAAAACCCCATAAAAAAAATTGAGTTACCGATTGTATTTTATATTTATTTCATTAAATCAACAGCCTTTAATAGTAAACTGCCGGACATAAGCCTCTCCTTGGAAAGGAGGTTTTGGCCTTCTATACCACGCTGGCCAGACAGATTCCTTCTCTCTGCAGTGCTGTTGTTCTGCGTATTTATATGCGTTATTTATTTACTGAATTAAAATCAATTTCATTTTTAGTAATGAAATAAAAGAATTATTACATTTATTCCTTTTATTATTTCTATTCATTCTTAAATAGCCTTTTTTCATCGTACAATATTTCATTTCCTTTTTCACTATTAGTTTATGGAAACAATAAAATAATTAAGTTTCTTCAAAAAGGTTGAAAAAATTTAGAATTTGTGCTATAATTGTGGAAGAGACATTATTGCAAACGAGTATTCTTAAACGATGATGTCCTTTAATTATACTCATGGTGTTTATGGTATGGGGGTATGGGGGCTACCGATCTGATGGTATAGTGATTACCGTGGCCCACGGAAACAAACTTGTAATTTTAAAGCCTACATAATGTGAGATAGTTTCCAAACATTAGTATAATAGTTTATTCTATGAAATAATACTAAATTAAAATGACACTTCGGTTCAATTTATACAATAATTACTGTTTAAACATACTTGTAACAAATATTTCATGATTACACCACATTATAGGTATTTAATTGGATTCTCTGAAGTTTCGTTATTCCAAATTTATTGAAAACCACCATTATTACAGGAATAATGCGACGTTCACAAATTTGCCCAATTTGTACACATAACATAATAACATTATTTTTTTAAATAACGAAGGAAACGTATTTAATGAGAAACGTTATTCTAGTAACGGTAAATATAACGACATACAAATAACAATTTCATAATAACTTTTACAATACATTAAAGTTGTTGATAAGGATTAGGATGTTTATTATAACACAGATTTTTTTATCTATTTCAATTTCAACCATAACGTTACTTACATTAAATCAATACATAAATTAATTGCTCTAATTATCTCGTAAACATAAATAAATAACAATTTCTTTGCTTTAATTTTCACGAATGAGTGTTATTAAAGGGGTGAGGAAGCTGTATGTTGCGAGATATGATACCTATTATATGAACATAACGTAATAGAATCTTCTGATTGAATGGGCAAGAGTTAAAACATGATGGATAAATCTTTTTAAAAACCGTTATCTTGGAACGATATCAGTCATGTTTGTAATAATTTATAACTACTACGAGCACACTCATTTTTTATAGAGAATTATATGAATTAGAGTATACAGTTATTTTGTAATATGTTTCGTAGTACACGAACGTACATATTAGGAATAACGTTATTGTAACAGTTGTAGGGTTACAATAACGTTATAACTGACATAGTAAATGATGTCAACAGCTTTCTGGTAACGTGTGATGTGAGTAATAACTATTGCATGTAGTTATCGTTAATGATATAATTTAAAAGTCGTTTTATTTTTATTTTATTGAGGATTATTATGCGAGCATTAGTTTTATCGGAAGCATATCCTTCTCTCTAGGTTAAACTTCACCTAAACAATTCTATGTAACTGAGAGTTAAGGTATTTCTTTTGAATATCAGTACTTTCGGACCTATTTTATATTTTTTTTTTTCGAAAAAAGTAATGAGTGCGCTCATATTAGATAAATATTAAAAAGGGTGGGGAAATAAACCTTAAAACTAATTGTCACTTTCAAAGAAATCAGACTTTAAAATAACTGGCATATAGCAAACTGGTACAACGTTTAGCACTTGCGGTAATATTATAAACAAATTGTACACTACCACTTGCTAAATAACAGTAATAAGATTATTCTTAAAGTAATATAGAATATGTGTGTGTTCTATTTGAACTGTTAGCACGCATCTGTTCTTCAAAAAACGTAACGTAACGTAACGATATGTCAAAACGTTTTCTGTTTACATATTAACCGAATTACGTATTATTACACATTTAAGTGACTTTTGCAAGTCAATTTAAACATCTGGAATGTTAATTGCATGGCAAAGGATCAGCTTTGGATCGCTTTTTGAGACATATCAAGTGTATGTGACTTATGCCATCTAAGAATAAAACACGTGTGGGCTTTTTTGTGTGTAAAACTACTCACAAATTGAATTTTTTCACATTTTTAAATTAATATAACCACAGATATAGAAAGGCACAATTAGATTCTACCTCCAAATCGTTTTTTAAAATTACATCACATAACAAAATTCATATAATTATTGTTATTTAAAAGGATTTACATTTTGTCTACATTGTCAATCGAACCACGGAACAGTTTTGCATCATATTTGGTACAAATTAAAAATGAGACCTGATAAAAACAAATGAAATGCAAGAAAATTATCCAGCTGACTTATCAACCAAACTTCGAGCCCTAAAATCGAAGTTAATAGTAAGTAACGTTACGTCAATAACGTTACGTTATATACCGTTATTGCCACGATACTCTACTCGGGACATCTTCCAATTGAGTGGCATTAGATTTATCAGAACTCTTATTTTTAACTGTAGTAGTTGATTAGTAGATCGGCAACACAAATTTCGACAAAATGCTTTTTTCCAAAACACAAAACTCACATACACAAGTTTATTCTATCAATATTTGACAGCTCAATTTTTGACTATTGAAGTCAATTTATATTAAACGCTAGTTCCATTAATATACTCCTTGAACTAGGAAATAAAAAGGCACAATTGTTCATCGATAACTAATAACTAACAACAAACCTTAGGCCACAGTAACCTATGCATAGGCCATAATCCTCTTCAACGCACTCACGTTTCATAGAGATAGGGCACTGTGAATGTCACTTTTGACAGCTCACGTCAAGTTAACATCAAATGTCAATTTGACAGGTGTCATCTTGTTATGTACGACAATTGGTAGTTCCGTATACATAGTACAGAGACAAGAAGGTATTCTCTTGTGAATTTATAACATATGGAAGAGTCAGAGAGGTTTTGTTAGTCCTATTAAGTTCGCTAAAGAAACTCAACTGTATAATAAAACTATACAGAAAGTAGCTTCGAATCTAATCGCGGGTATTTCGAAATTTAAAATTTGACATCCGCTGTCAATCCGACACTCGCTCTGACAGCTGTTTTTGACGTCCGCCATATTTTCGAATACCCTCTATTGGGTTCATTGATGAGTCTATGGTACACCCATTGACTACGCAACTAATTCTCTAAGCTTACTTTTTAAATATCTGACCTTTTTATTAACAGCATTTTTGTAGGTAGTCTTAGAGTTATCTAGATTTTTTGCAGTCTTATTGTGTCTTAACTTGACTCTTTCGTTGAAGAGTTCGTAGAAGTTAGGGAGGGGGGTGTCGACTAACACTGGTGAGGGGTAGCGCTTCGTTCAGCCGGTGGTGGTAACTGGCCGCCATGTTCTGTATGAAGTGTGTGAACATCGCTGTCTCCGTGAACCATTCGAGAAAGTATTGATTTTGCTTTGACGAAGCGTTCTTTACAAATGCTTCTTTCTGTAACAAAAATATGTTTTTTTTTTAAATATTATTTATTTGTTCAATCTGTAGTTCATGCCTTGTTGATTGGGAAAAGTTGATGGGACAATCGGCACATGAACTCTCATCGTGCGATGCAGGATCAGTCGTTCTTATATTATGCAGCTCGCCTTCGCTAGATGGCGCTAATATATGTATGTACTACATCGTGTACTTACTAAAGTATGACATATTTTAGTTCTTTTATGCAGCATTATGTCTTTTTTATTAACAGTTTCACTTATAGTTCCAAGGTGTCTATAGGGGCCATCCGTATATTACGTTACACGAACTTTATGGTTTTTAAACCAACCCTGTCCTTGTCACAGCTGGTCACATTTGTGAGACCCCATCCCCCTCCCTAATGTGACGTCGCAAATTTACATTTAAAAGTTATTATTAATAATTAAAACAGTTCCAATATTAGGCTTACTAACATTTTATTTTATTAAGTTTTGAAACGTGGCGTCACGAAACATAGGACCCCTGCCACCCCTTGGCAACCCCTCCACTAACAGGTGAAGTCATTTACGAATGGCCCTACATAACAAGTAAAAAACGATACTTACATCAAAAACAACATCTCCCTTCCCAAGCTCCCCTTCTCTCAACTCCCTCACAGAGAAGAACTGCCAGAAATCACCCAAGATATCGACGAAGAACCTCAGAAATGCTTCTGATATCATGACGTTTCTTGTCTTGTTGTCTTGGACCTCCCGGTTTTTGGAGGTTTCCATCTGGAGCGAGGTCTTCAGGGACTTGTAACAGGAAGTCGGAAGGATGGTGGATTCATCACCTTGGTAGAATAGGACCTTTGATGGGTGTGAGAGGTCGATCAGCATACCCTGGGTAAGAGACAGCGAATATTATTATTATTTCTGCTATGAAAGTAAGAACTCTAGGCGGGACGGGTTTTAACCTTCCACTCCTCATTTCTTTCCCTCAAGGAGTCGAAGTCCACGAGTGCCAAGCGTTAGTAAGTACAGAACTTACCAGAAGTGGTACCCATGCTATTGCGGGCGGGATCTAGGGAGTTTCTGGATATCCTAATAACAGTTGTTCCCGGGTTTTTTTTTCTTTTTTAAAAGACAACTCCCGCATTAGGAATATATCCTGTGCCACGGGGGACTTTCATGTAACGGACATAAATAACCCCCAGACTCAGAACAACAATTCGTGGATCACACAAAGTGTTGTCCCATGTGAGGTTTGAACCCACAACACTTGTCGCAGTAGGAAGGGGCGTGGAGACCCCTTAAACCACTGCGTCATCCGTGCAGTCAAATTCTATTCAAAGTCAAAAGATTCTATCTCAGACATAGAGTGGTACACCGTCTGGTTTTAGATTGCTGTGAACCTCGGTGGGGTGAAGGCCCGAAGGTACCCCAGTACTCAAAGGTTGGTAATGAACAATGACTATTGGTTTGGAGGTGCGCAGGGGGGGGTTATAGTCACTTGTCATCAGGTGATTTGTCAGCCTATATCATAAAAAAACAGTGGCACGGAGTGCGGACAGAAGTGAAAACTTGACAATTTTTTTTGTTTATAACAATTTTTTGTTTTTTACGGTTTGAAAAGTTCCGACATGAATTTTTTTTTTCGTTATTACTATTAGAATAAAATGACTGTTTTAAAATACTAATGATATTACATGAATGATAACGAATGATGACACAGTTATGTTTTTTTTTTGTTTAAATATTTCAAATACAATGTAATTTGTTGATGAATAAATTACTATGACTTTATCTATGTTGTACGTATATATACAATAATAGTTGTTTTTAAAGGAAATAAATAAATAAAAAAAAAAATAAATATGTCTATATTACATATATATAGTTATATTATCAATATATTTCAAGTCAAACTCAACTCTCGCGTAAACGGGGTCAATATATGTTGATTCTTATATACATAGGTGTCGGTAACGGTAACAGTGCCGCGAGTTCAGTGGTTTTTCTCATCTCAAAAAATACATTCTTTTGTTTGTCGTACAAAAATGGCCTAAATAAATTTTCACTTAAAAAAGGACTGCCACAGAGAATATGGACGGACAGGATCTCGAGAGAATTCGAGACAGGAGGTCAGGATGGAATGGCTCACCTCGTCGAAGCCGACGTCGGCGAGGTCCCGGGGCGCGGGGTGCAGCGCGCCGGCCAGCAGCGGCAGCGGCGCCTCCAGCACGTCGCGCTGCAGCTCGTGCGGCACGGCCGAGATGAGCGGCTGCTGCCACACGAACGGGTACAGCGCGCCCTGCAGCGCCTCCACGCACGCCGACACCACCCTGCACCGGGGGCGGGGTTCCGTTAACGCACTCCCACTTTTACGTGTTACATTTGACGTTGATTCTTGTAAATGTTGAATATGAGAACAATTTTATTTAAAAAAAACGGGCCCCACGTTTTTTTTTCAGTCGACGTCAGAAATGATAACTTAAACTTAATCTAAGTTGAACTATTTAATATTGAAATTATTTAACTTGAGAAAAGCTTAAATTATTACTTAAATTTTATGTATATTAATATGATAAAGAGAGGAAGGGAAGACAAGCAGACTGGCGCCGTAACGCGTTATGTAACGAAGCGGTTTACCCTCCCATAAGAAGTTATCACTTTAATAATTTAAATAGATGTAAAATATTGCAAAATATATGACGTCACACTAGGAAGGAGGTCTCACGAATGTGACCAGCTGTGCCAAGAACAAGGACAGGGGTAAAAAAACAACAAAATTCGTGTAACGTAATTTTTGGATGTTCCCTAACGGCGAGTGGAACACAAATAAACATACATTTTTTTTTTCTTTTTTATAAAGGCAACTCCCGCATTAAGAAAAATCCTGTGTCGCGGGGGACTTTACAAACATACATGAAACGGACACAAAGAACACCCAGACTCAGAAAGACAATTTGTGGATCACACAAAGTGTCGTCCCATGTGGGGTTTGAACCCACAACACTCGGTGTAGTAGGAAGCGGCGTGGCGACCGCTTAAACCACTACGCCATCCGTGCAGTCAAACATTTATTTATATATCCATATAAAACGTACCTCATGTTATGTCCAACGATGATGACCTTCCTTTCCAGGAGTAGGGAAGCGAAGACCTTGATCAGCAGCCCCGCTCCAAGTACATCTAACACTGTTGATATATTGTCTTCATCTATTCTGGGTTCTATCGGCCTCTTTATTGTTTTGATCCTGAAACAAATATTAAACTCCTTAAAAATGGTATCAGAGCTGATGATCTTTCTAATGGACCTGAACAAATTAGGGAGAGGGGGGGGGGGGGAGTGGGCCGACGTAACCATCCGACCGGTGGGTGGTATCTGAGAGGATTGCCGTACAGGAAAAAAATGGGGAAATTGGGCCGCTAAACTTGGCTTATGAATGCCCCCCTCCCCCCCCCATCCCCCAAAGATATAATGTTAATCTTATAAATAACCATATACAATAACACGTACACAGGGTTAAAAACAAAACATTATGGGTCTGAGAAACTATACCCTCAAACAGGAAAATATGATGCCTTATATATAATAAGATATCATATCTTTTAGTCACTTCGTCCATAACCTACGCGTTTGAGTGGTGGTTTGGGTTTGAATCTCTGTTACAACAGTTTTAGGACGGGTTCGATTCCTACCCAGGACGGAATTTAGTGATGAGAACGACTATTTTAGTTCTGTGTCTGGGTGATATATATTAAAAAAAATGTTTAAATAGGTACCATCATGATCAACAGCCTTTAGTAGTCCACTGCTGGACATAGTCGACTCTTATGACAACCACGAGATGAAAAGGTGTGGTGATACTAAGTATTCTTAATCCGTCACCACACGGATATGTATACATACGGACGGACAGTAGGACATACTATATAGGTAGGACTTAGAAATATTGCCCGGTTGATGGCAATATGCGGTAATTACGTGAGTTGGACTAAAATAATATCGGCAAATTGGGCGTTTAATACCCCTCTGTCTACCCCCCTTTGGGGATGAAGACGTGGGACGTAATCTAAGTAGTATATTTCTTACCTAGGAACATCTAAGCTCAGATTAACACTCTTAACTCCGTTATTATTCTCTAGATCACTATAATTCTCTTTCTCCATCAGTCTCCTCTCCGGTAAAGTCTGACTCTTCCTCTTACACTCTTCTATATCTTTAGTATAGTTGGGAGTGTTGGTGTAGCAAATGGATATCTCTTCTCCAGGGTTTGGGAAGTCTGCGTCAAAGAGTTGTTGCAGTAAAGAGTGGATTTCAAAGTCTGACCGACCGTGGCGGGACTCTATCTCTTCTAGCACCTGAAATAGAAAAACTCATTGATTTGTACACCTGGTACCTGAGACGGCGTATAGTTTTTAGTCGGTTAGAGTCCGATATAACCACCGATGAGTGGTTTCCGAGGAGATTTCAACACAGGAAAAAAAGAGGGAGGCCATGGGAATGGCTCTCCCACGGTCTCCCTCTTTTTTTCGGCATATTTGGGCCCGGAGTCGCAGAAAACTGGTGTAACAATATCATATAAAATCAATTTAACTTTATGCTTTAACATATCTCTTGTGGTTAGTGACCCTGACTGCTAAGCCGGAGGTCGTGGGTTCGATTCCCACCCAGGACAAATATTTGTGTGATGAGCACGATCATTTGTTCTGTGTCTGGGTGTAATTTATCTATTATATGTATCTACGAGTATTTAGAAATATATATAAGTATGTTTATCAGCAGTCTGGTTACCATAGTACAGACTCTGCCTAGTTTGGGATCAGACAGCCGTGTGTAGTTAGTGTGAAAAAAAATGCCCAGGGCATTCCCTCCCAGTCAACCTTGTGGGTCATGTAGATATATTAAATAATATAATAATATTATAGCATTTTATACATTAATAGCAAATGACCTTCAGTGTAGACATACCTTATAGTAAAATCCAGGAGCCCTATACCTGCCAATGAGGCAGTAACACAGTGGAAGACAGGTTGTGGCACCTTCGGGAAGCACCCGCCGACAGTATCTAGTAACATTTAATAAAAAATAATATTTTGGCCGACCCACTCTAGTGCTAAGTCTAGTATTAGCCATTCTAGGTTTGAGCATTAGATTTTTTTTTTTTAAGAAAAGACAACTCCCGCAATATGTATATATTTTGGGTCGCGGGGACTTTACAAATATTTATGAAAAGGACACAAAGAGCACCCAGACTCGGAACAACAATTTGTGGATCACACTAAGTGCAATGCCATGTGGGGATCAGCACAGTAGGAAAACGGCGATGTGACCGCTTAAACCACTACGCCATCCGTGCAGCTAATTCTATAATACATACCAGCCAAGTCTAGGGAGAGCATTAGTCAAGTGGGTACAATTAACCGAGTCTGGATGAACACTAGCAAAAAAGAATGAGCGTCAGAGAATTCTAGAATGAATCCTAGTCAAGTTTGGGAAATATATTATCTGAGTCTGGAATGCTTATCAGCCAAGTCTGTGGTGGCCAATTTCAGTCAAGTTTGAAACTCTTAATGTAGACATAAAAACTTACCCATAAGCTCTTTCCCCCCGTTCATCAGTCAGCACCAAGGAATAGCACTGCTGGCTCTTGGCGTCTACCGACCACTCGCTTCTGGGAGTAGCGCTCATAGTCTCTGGGAAGACCAGGTTTTCGATGTGTGGCGGGACGTGTACCTGAAATACAAGTAACGTTTAAAATAAAAATTTCAGGGAATATGAGTTTGGAGTTATACCGGAGTGATACTACGGTGTCTCAGAAAACCGGAACAAGGAGTCAGAAAACCGGTGCTAATCAATTCTCTCGTTGCTTTTCATCGAGTGAGATTCTCAGGAGAACTCATATGGCTTGGTACCAGGGATTTCCTTTCTAGGGTACACCTGGTTCCTCGGCAACTGGCACCCGAGACGGGGTGCGGTTTATGTACGGTTCGAGTCCAATATAACTACCCCACCGGTGGGTGGTATCCGAGATCCAGAAAGAAAGAAAGAAAAGATATGGCACCAACACACTTTTGACTCTTTCAGTTGCAGGTTTCCATGGGCAACAAGTACTATCAGGGGACCTGTGTGCTCGTTTGACCCCTTATACAATAAAAGCATGAAATTTTGCAGCAGCTTTCTTAGGGCTGCTGAAAATTACATTGGGTATACCCTATCCAAATAAAAGTACTGGTTCTCTAAGGATTACTTTCATCATACACAGTTTTTAATAGTCCACCGCTGGATATAGGCCTCTCCTTAGAAAGGAGGTTTTGGCCACATTATACCACGCTGGCCAAACAGGTTGTTTCAAGTTTTCCTTCTTTGGCAGTTCTGTAGTACTCCCTTGCGACACCCACGGGATAAATAGGAGTGGTGACACACCGTATTCTTAATCCGTCGCCACAGGAACACGTTATTTACCTGAATAAATCTACATTCACATCAGCTAAGACACAGACATGCGTGGCCATAAGTTTGTTTGCCCTTTCTTCTCATAAGGCTCAACCCCTTGGAAACGGGCGGTTGTAGATCGGCACAGGCATATCATAGATTTTGAATGGGTTTGATTTTTGTTAAATTTATTTGCTTACTATTTGACAGATTGTTGCTTTTGTGTGTTTTGATCTATGACTTTAGAGTCTACATAAAAGACGATTTCAAACAATTTTAATTTTTTTATGAAATAAAGAGAGTTTGAGTTTACAAACTAGTAATCATTACCAACCTGGCTTGGAAAAGCACTCTTCACATATGCCTGTCCCGTCATATAATTCAGGCCCACCAGTAGACATAAGTTGAATAGCCCTTTCTCCCGAGGCTCAAACGGCAGATCTACACACCCAGCTTTCTCATCTATGCTCAAATTGTCTATGCTGTCTCTGCTCGCGTCCAGCATATCTTTCATAGATAACAGATTTCCTGACGAATCTGTCAGGTTATACTTCGAATCTGTATCCATCTTTGTGATGTTACCCTGAAATTGAAATATTAAAAGTATTAACTTTAAGTATCATCTATACTAATATTAGACGGGCCTGTTGGTCTAGTGGTTAGTGACCCTGACTGCTAAGCCAGAGGTCGTGGGTTCGATTCCCACCCAAGACAAATATATGTGTGATGTAGTGTAATGTAAGTGTGTTTATCAGCAGTCTGGTTACCATAGTACAGGCTCTGCCTAGTTTGGGATCAGACGGCCGTGTGTGAGATGTGAGGGTATTATTATTTATTTTGAAGCTGGAGTTTGTTTATTTGTTTGGTTGAACCCTCAGGAACCTACTGTGTGATAGCCCATTTATCGAGGAAGGCTATAAGCTATATTACATCACGATACGACTAATAGCCGAGTAAAAATGAAAAATATTGCAAAAACGGGAAAAACTTATTACTTTTAAGAGACCTAGACGAATTTGGACAGGTCAGCTCGTAAATAATAATGCCATCTAGTCATCAACACCGAAACAGAGTACTCAATTGTCATCTTCCGGCTTTTGGATGACACCTGGATTTTTGCGGAAGCAAACAGGTATAAGAGATCACGAACCGATAAATCAGCCTCTGGTCAAATGGACTGGAACTTTCAGCTTCAACGACTTGGTTTGAGAAGTCTGGGCTGGGCTTAGTAAATGACTGCACGGATAGCGTAGTGGTTTAAGCGGTCGCGACGCCGCTTCCTACTACACCGAGTGTAGTGTGATCCACAAATTGTTGTTGGGTCTGAGTCTGGGTGTTCTTTGTGTCCGTTTTATGTATGTTTGTAAAGTCCCTAACACAGGACATATTCCTAATGCGGGAATTGTCTTTTTTTAAAAAGAAAAAAAAAGTAAAAAGGATGTACAATATTTAATTCCTACCTGAAGGGGACACGGGTTCAGTCGTGAATTAGAAGAGGATCAGTTTTAGCCCAGTCATATTAGGGCTTTCACCTCGGAATGAAAGATAATAAGCTGCAAATTGGTATGAACCTTTGTTTTGTCATTCTAAATGTTGTCTCAAAAGTCACAATCGTTATCGTGTCCGCGTCTCAAGACATTCAAGGTCAAAGGTCACAAAAATCGGTTTTTCGCGAATATCTGGCTTCCTATCGGTTAAATGAGATTTGCATTTATTATAAAAGTTGTAGGCTATAAAATTCCCTACAACTTTTGTTTAAACTTTTTTTTCATACGACCAACCGTTTTGAAGGTAGAGCGCGAAGAGTGCACATCGTACAGTCATATACGGCCTAATGCAAGGTCAAGCGTGAGTTATGGTTATCAGTACGTTATAAAGTCAATTATTTACTTGGAAATTATAATTATTAAACAATGCCTATTATTTATGTACTAACTATTAATTATTTATATTTAATTAAAGTAAGTAACTTGATTATTTATATATAATTATTCATATTTAACTATTTAAGTATAAAATATTATTAATTCTGGATTATATATTTTAGTTTTATTTTAAGTTAAAATGATAGTAAGAGTATATATTTTACACATATTTTTATTTATTATTAAATACGGCATAATATACATTTATCAAAATGTGAGTTCAAATATCAAAAGTATCTTTGTTGATTTTAATTGTAATGAAATTGGAAATGGAAGCTAATTATCTTCTTCTTGTTCGTCGTCTTCTTCTTCTTGTCGCTCAAAAATGTTCGATTCATTGTCATCATCCTCATTATCTGTCATGTTCATCTCCAAACCTTCCAGAATATCGGGATCATATGTATTTTCTTCATCGGGATTACTTGGATACAGTGAAGCGTTGAGGCAAGCTTGTCCGTTGCACTGGCCGCAAGCTAAAGAACATTGTAGCCCTGATTTTCTGCATCCACAGCGGGAACCACAACCATTTGTGCAATTGCAAAATATTACGTTTAGTAGTTCGGCTGGTGCTGGAGGTAATAACGTTCGTATGGGCTCCAGGATTTCATTTTCAAGCATCCAGCCCCATTCTTGAGGTTCTAAGTCCTTCCCTAACCACGTTTGAATCTGGTAGTAGACACGTTTTATGTGTTGATGAGCTGCTACACTTGTTGGTGGAAGTGTTGACAGTTGTACAGGTTTATTTAGTTTTGTAAATTTGATGAATTGCGTGTAGCGGAAATGATCAATGTTGTCCTCAGATTTTGGAGCATTATATAATGCCAACAAGATGCGCACTCCATTTTCTAATAATGTTTGTTTTGGGCAGTTTTCTTGTTGAAATACTTCCACCAGTTTATCTAAATCAGGAATTTTTTCCAATGCTCTAGTAACAGTTTTTTTTCCTTTTTTAAATAGCGCAGAAGTCGTGTCACAGCCACTGAATGCGTGTAAAAATAAACAGAAACACCTTCTGAAAGTTTCTTATCACATATAAAACACAAATCAGCCATAGCTCTTAAAACCGTACGTCCGTAGTTGCAACGGTACAATTTCAAACTAACGAATAATCTTGACTCATACAAAGTGGAGAGAGTGGCCTTGAATACTATAGAACATCTGTCCCGGCAATGAATAGAAAAGGGCATAGGGTAGGGACAAGTATTTCCAGGTATATAAGTATTGAGAAATTTACGCGTTTTAAAGAAAAGATATATAATGTCGTGTTAACTTAAAATAAAACTAAAATATATAATCCAGAATTAATAATATTTTATACTTAAATAGTTAAATATGAATAATTATATATAAATAATCAAGTTACTTACTTTAATTAAATATAAATAATTAATAGTTAGTACATAAATAATAGGCATTGTTTAATAATTATAATTTCCAAGTAAATAATTGACTTTATAACGTACTGATAACCATAACTCACGCTTGACCTTGCATTAGGCCGTATATGACTGTACGATGTGCACTCTTCGCGCTCTACCTTCAAAACGGTTGGTCGTATGAAAAAAAAGTTTAAACAAAAGTTGTAGGGAATTTTATAGCCTACAACTTTTATAATAAATGCAAATCTCATTTAACCGATAGGAAGCCAGATATTCGCGAAAAACCGATTTTTGTGACCTTTGACCTTGAATGTCTTGAGACGCGGACACGATAACGATTGTGACTTTTGAGACAACATTTAGAATGACAAAACAAAGGTTCATACCAATTTGCAGCTTATTATCTTTCATTCCGAGGTTGACCCCTTTTTTTACCTAATATGACTGGGCTATTTTCTAGTTTGTGTGGTTACCTGAGATGTTCGAAAGCTCTTCCAAGATCTGAATGTGGCGTAGGGGTTGTCCGCAGCGTCAGCTTTGTACGAACAAATGGAGGTTTGGTTTCTTAACCGTTTAATGTTCTTGGGATCCAAGTAGGCTACTCTTGTGGATACGCGGCGAACGTAGTTTTTGCGCTTTTCTGTCAAGCTGCGAGTTAGTTTAACGGATTCTGGAATGAGAGGAATATAGATATAATATTCTGGAGTATATTACACGGCGCTATATAGGCCATGGGAAAGCTGTGGTGGTCCGTATAGATCGGCTTCACCGGAGAGATATCACAGCCTTACAGAAACCATTAAGCACTTTTTCGATTGCATTTCACGGAGTGAATGAGATAACATGAGATTTTTTCTCCTAATTCTGTTGAGATGGTCGCGTGGTCTGCTTGCCCCCTACCGGCCTCCTACTCCATAAAGAATTTAAAAAAAATGCCACCCATAGAGGGATAAATATATGTATAAATAAAATTGAAATAATTAGAAACTAACATTCCTAGGTAGGTACCAAAAGAAACGAAACACGGACAGGTGTCCGTGTTTCGTTTCTTTTCACTACTGGACATGGCCTCTCCTTAGAAAGGAGGTTTCGGCCTACTATACCACGCTGGAGAAATGGGTTGGCATACGGTTTGTATCAAGTTTTCCTTTCTTTTTGCAGTGCTGTTGTCTTGCGTAGCTTGCTCCCTTAATGGGTTCTAACGACACCCACGAAATGAATAGGGGTGGTGACACTCCGTATTCTTAATCCGTCACCACACGGACCAATAATAATAGACTTATCTCTTATTATTTAAGTGGGGAAAAATTACAGTTGATAAGGTGTAGGAAGGCGTATATGTATCTAAATGGCCTATCACCGACTGACGAACGAAGAACTCGAAGAATATATGTAAATTTCCAAACAATACAATAAAAAAAAAATACAATATCAAAGAGAGAAGACTAAATATGATTTTCTAGTAAGTGACTGCTAAGAATTCCTGTACAAAACCTAATACGAGGGGTTCCAGGACATACATACCTTCACTAGTGCTAGAGTCGGAGTGATCAGTAGGAAAACTTCCAGGTTTATTCTCGTCCATATTGCATACAGCTGTAACCGTCTCGAAGAGCTCGTTCATCAGACAATTGAGCTGGAACAAATAGAAAAACTATTATTATTCAAGTTAATTATAATTAATCATAATAACTTCGCATTCCTGTTGTCCTAAGTCTGGGTGTTCTTTGTGTGCGTTTCATGTATGATTGTAAAGTTCCCCGCGACATGTTTAAATACCCAGTGCTGGAGTTGTCTTTAAAAAAACATATCTAACATACTGTCGCGGCCGTCTGATCCCAAACAAGGCAGTAACCAGACCACTGATAAACATTCTTAAATATTCCTAGATACATACAGATTACAGATAAATTACATCCAGACCCAGAACAAGTGATCATAACTTAGTCTTAAAAGTCTCTCAAAAGGAATAAATTTTCCCCGTGTTTTGACTTGAACAGTCAAGTCCTACCTACGTCCTCTAAGGAACATTTGTGCGAAATTTCATGCACCCAGCAGTTGCGGTTGATCGAGCAGTCAGTGAATCAACTGGCAGTTTCTTCTTTTATAGATCACCATCATCAACAGCCTATAACAGTCCACTGCTGGACATAGGCCTCTCCTTAGAAAGGAGGTTTTGGCCTACTATACCACGCTGGCCAGACGGTTGATATAGGGTTTGTTTCAAGTTTTCCTTCTCTTTGCAGTGCTGTTGACCTGCGTAGTTTGCTCCCTTAACCGGCTCTTACGACACCCACGGGATGAATAAGGGTGGTGACATTCCGTATTCTTAATACGTCACAACACGGAAACTTTTATAGATATATAGATTTGCGTGCTACTTTCTTTTGTTTGTGTTCTAAATTTTAATGGTTTACAGTAACTTTTACAATTCTGTCACTGTCAATTTAAACATACCCCCGTTGTCAGCATCAGTTTCTATACTTAATTATTATACATAATAAAAATAATACAGTATATTTCGACAGGCATGTTAGTTAAATGGTTAGTAATACTGTCTGCTATGCCCAGAGGTCTTGAATTCGATTCCCATACAGGACAAATATTGAACTGAAGGGTATTTTGTTTGTAAAACGCGATAATCTCTAAAACTATCAATCAGATTTTAATGATTCTTATTGTATTGGACAGATTATTTATTGGGGGTAATATAGGCTATAAAACATCACGTTTCGACCCATAGGAGCGGGGCAGCGACCGTAAATGCAAACATGCACGAAACGTTAGTGTAATTTAAAATAATTTACTTAAAAACTCGCATAAGTATAATTAATTATACATTTTTAAATTATTACACATATTATGTAACAAATAATAACCTTCCTTTTAATACAAAGGATGAACAATCTAAGTGTAAATTATTACAAATGAAAATTAAAAATCGTAAAACTGAATAGAATTATTTTACGTGGCTAGTTGTAATAGACTTGTAATGTTGATTTTAAATATTTTCCTTTAACTGCACTGCTCGGATGGTGTAGTGGCTTAAGCGGTCGCCACGCCGCTTACTACTACGCTGAGTGTTGCGGGTCCGATCCGCACAATTTTTTTTTTTTTATAGACAACTCCCGCATTAGGAATAAATCCTGTGTCGCGGGGGACTTTACAAACATACATGAAACGGACACAAAGAACACCCAGACTCAGAACAACAATTTGTGGATCACGCAAAGTGTCGTCCCATGTGGGGTTTGAACCCACAACACTCGGCGTAGTAGGAAGCGGCGTGGCGACCGCTTAAACCACTACGCCATCCGTGCTGTGCACATGGGACGACACTTTGTGTGATCCACAAATTGTTGTTCTGAGTCTTGACGTTCTTTGTGTCCGTTACATTTCGTTTCATTTCACCAAGTTAGGAAGGTTTCAGAGGAATCCACAAGCCATAAAGCAATGTATCTATGTATATTCATTATTCATCTGATGTAGGTTTATCTCTCATTTAACAAACTATTCTGAAGTACCAAAAACATTATAATTTATTTTCTTTTTTTTATGGTATAAGGGGGTAAACGAGCAGACGGGTCACCTGATGGTAAGCAACTACCGCCGTTCATGGAAACCTGCAACTCAGAAGCCACAAGTGCGTTGCCGCCCTTGGAGTGGGATTTGGGCTCTGGTAACCTCACTCACTCAGTTAAAGGCAACGAAAGAATTGCTTAACAATGGTTTTCTGTGAGGTTCTCCGGTTTTTGCATCACCGCATCATATTTCTAAATCACCTGAAGGTCGACTGGCAGCGAATACCTCATGGCGTTAAGTCCGCTTTCGTACAACATGTTTATTAACTTTTAGATAAATAAATAGTCTGGCGGGACACTCAATAATGAACTTGTTTGAGTTGCATGTGTCCACGTGGGTGTCGATAGTCGCTTACCATCACCATCTTTTTTTTTATGTTAGAGGGGGCAGACTACTAGGCGGGTCACTTGATGGAAAGTCACCATCCCGCCCATGAGCGTCTGCAACTCAGGAGTCACAAACGCGTCTGTTTTCGTTTGCCTCCTACACCATAGAAAAGTACGAAAAATCAAAACGAAAAGCTTCACAGATCTAGTAACTATGCAATACTATTCAAGTGAAAATTAATAATACGGTTAACATTAAGAATGATATTGAAATGAAACAAAAATTTAATATTTATTTAATAATGACTACATTTCTATCAGAATTTTAGGCCATTACTAGAATAATTAAATTCTTAAAAATAAACAACTGGCTAATTTGAATATTAACAAACTCACAGATCTCAATTATCCATTACATAAACATAAAACCACAACCAAAACAAAAATATGTGTAAAGGAAAAATAAATAAAACACAACGATACAAACCCGACCATGTTTGAACATGGCACTTTCCAACACAAACCCACAAACAAAACAAACCCTAAAAAACACTAACCTTTGAACGTCATCATGAATGGTATTATGTAACAAAGAACAATAAACAAAACACAACTTTCACTCACATGAACACACACACTTAATTTCTTTTTAAACTTTTTTCTTAACACTAGTGATGCGAACCACGCGTACCACGCAGAGTGGTCTAATTCGAATAATCACAAAACCTAATGTTTCTTCGAGAGATAACAGCTCATATGAAACATCGACGAATGAACGACTTTATGTTACTATGAACAATTCGATTTATTTATATAATTATCCTTATTTTAAACAATGGGTGTAGGTTTTGGACATTCCTGCTCCAGATTATCCTTTATATTTATACTTAGTAATAATATTGTTTGTTCTCGATAACTTTAACTGAAATGTAACATATTTATGTAATGATAATATGGGCTTGAACGAATTTTTATAATTTGCCCTTGCACCTACCGACTATTACTTTCCCAAAATTTAGACAACTTTTTAGTAGGTAAAAAATTCAATTCCCGAGAGGCAGTACTAAATGCCTTTGAAGAGTTTGTTGCCTCCCGTCCAGCTGATTTTTACAAGAAGGGCATCAATAAACTGCCAATGCGTTAGCAAAGATGCGTCGATTGCATGGGTGATTATTTCGAATAACAGAAATAAAAAAGTTTGAAAAAATAAGTACTTTCACTTATTGCATACAAAACGGCAATTTCATAGGTAAAGACCTATTATTTGCACACCAATAATGTGGTAAAATGCAGCAGACAAATCTATAGTTTGTAACACCTATAAATGTACCTTTTTTTTTTTTTTTTTTTTTTTTTTTTTTCCGTGCGGAAATCCCCTCGGATACCACCTGTCGGTGGCATGTCGGACTCGAACCGACTAAAACCGCACGCCTTCGCCGGGTACTAATAGCCGGGGAACCAGGTATACCCTAGAAAGGAAGGCCCTGGTGCCCCGACATACCTCGGGTCATCTACAGACGAGACGACCCCCGCCCCGTGTGGGAACCCCATGTTCCCTGTGCTCCCTGGAAGCGAGCGCGCTTCGCAACGCGCTCGCCGCCACCCCGGCCTGCTTCTGCTAGGGTGACAGATGGCCTCACCTTGTACAACAATGCTCTCATTGCTCTTAGAGTTGCCAGGTCCCACTACAGAGCTGCTGTGGAAAAATCCAAGGGAAACTTAATTCAGAAACTTGTTGATAAACTCGATAGAGAGGGCCCGTGGTCACCTTTGTATCACGAATTTAAAGCAAATAGATCAATCGACCTTGCATACATACAGAACATCAAAATTAATAACAGATATACCACAGGAGTAGAACAAACAGCAGAATATCTTTTAGACTCACTCGTACCTGACGATCGACCGGAGAACGACACTGATCGTCACCGACAGATCAGGCAGTGGGCCATCGAACCACCACAATCTCCAATGTCTGATTTACCATCTTCAGACGAATTTCTCGGTATCATTAGATCCTTGCCGCTAAACAAGGCTTCGGGCGATGATAAAATATCTAACAAAATGATAAAAGAAGCTTGTAAACTTTCGGGTGACACGATTTTCACTGTCTTTAAACGTTGCATTGCTGAAGGAATATTTCCTCGTATATGGCGGTGCGGTAATATTCGTATAATACCAAAAAGTGGCGACAAGCCACCGGATGATCCTAAATCCTACCGACCAATCACATTGTTACCATCGTTAGGAAAGCTTTTAGAACGTCTTGTAGTGCCCCGGCTTCTGCCAGGTGGAGTCAAATTTCATGATAGACAATTTGGATTTACGTTGGGTAAATCAACAACTGACGCTGTTATATCGGTTAGAAAGTTTGTCACAGGGTCAAAATTTCAATACGTGCTGGCTATTTTCTTAGATATATCTGGCGCCTTCGACAACGCATGGTGGCCCATGCTGTTGCTGAAATTAAAATCACGGGGGTGCTTTAAAAATATTTATTCCCTTATCTCTTCGTACTTTTCACAAGGTACAACTAAACTAAGACTTGGTCATCATTCTGTGTCGAAGGCGCTTACAATGGGATGTCCTCAGGGATCGGTGCTAGGTCCATACTTGTGGAATATCGGCTTCGACGATTTTCTTGCGATACCAATACCATCCGGATGTACTCTGAACG